CTCCTCCTCCTCCTCCTGTTCCTCCACCTCTTCCTGCTCCTGTTCCTCCTGTTCTTCCTCCTCCTCTTCGGTTTCCTCGTCGGGCTGGCGGCGACAATCGTGTTCCCGGAAAGCCCTCCCGGAACATGATGGTGACCCAACTGAGGCTGCAAAGCCCGAAGGACTGCCCAGTGGATACATTTGGAAATGCTGACATGGCGATCAAGCTTGGCAAGGAAATGGGGGAGTCGCCTAGTCACGAAACAAGAACGGTAGGAGCTGGAAGGCCACGGCAAGGAATGCGAAACGTAGCGGACGGGGGGTGTGCGAGTCCACTTGCAGCAGGCCGCGGGCCCGACATCGGTTCCGCTGTGACGGGTCCCCCCTCAACGCTATTCATATTTGGAAGGCTCGGTGGGATGACGCGGACTCCTCCCCTCCTCTTCGGTCTCCTCGCCGGACTGGCGGCGACCATTGTGCTCCCAGAAAACGCTCGGGGAACATGATGGTGTAGGCCGTGTTGGGGCCACGGTGGAGGGTTCCAACATACCCCAACTGAAGCTGGAATGCCAGAAGGACGGCCCAATAAAATCATTCGATAAACCTTGGGATAGGGGGTGAGGCGGTTGAGCGTACAACTGAAATTGACGAGGTCGGAAGTGACAAAGCAAAGACGGCTGGAGCTGGAGCTGGGAAGACAGCGACGAGGAGGGTAAGAAAGACCGCGGGGACTTACGACAGCGACCAGAAGGGTTCGGGCCCATCCAGCCGCCGAGGTCGAAAGTCTGTAGGATGTTTGGTGGGGGTGAGACAGAACGCAAGAGGCTTACGATAGAGACCGGAATGGGTGTCAGACCATCCCGCCGCCGTCCCTGAATCGTCATTCGGCAAGCTTGGAGGATGTCAGGTGGGATGTTGACGGAGGCCGCGCGGGGTCCTCTTCGGGCGGGCCGTGTGTGGGCCCTCGATTTCAGGGTTATCCAAATGAGGTTGCCCAGCTCGAAGAACGGGCCAGTGGAAACATTTGCAAAAGTTGAAATGGTGGTGAAGCTTGGCATGGAGATGGGGAGGCGCAAGGTTTCGATTGAAGAACGGCAGGGGCTGGAACGGCCACGGCAAGGAGCTGCGCTGAAGTGAGGTGTTCGGTGGGACGGCGCGAACCGTCCTCCTCATCTTCGGCCTCCTTGCCGGACTGGCGGTGACAATCATGTTCCCAGAAAGCTCCCCGGGAACATGGTGTGGGGCCGTATTGAAGTTCTCGTAGAGGTCGTCAAGGTACCTCAATTGAGGCTGCATAGCACGAAGGACAGCCATAGTGAGCCATTCGGAGATGTTGTTATGGTGGTGCGGCTGCGAAGTGAGATGGAGGAGGCGTAAGGCAACGAAACAAAAACGGTAGGAGCTGGGTGGGACAGGGCAATGAAGGGGGGATGTCGAAGGAGGCCTCGCGGGGGCCTCTTGGGGGCCGTTGTTTGGCCTCTTGGGGTCAGTTTTGGAGCCTTCGGGGCGTCGTGGGGGCCTCTTGTGTTTGGAACCCCGTGACAGCATCTGGGAGCCTTCTTGGGGACTCCTGGGAGCTTCTTGGGGCCCTGAAAAGCTTCCTGGGCTCTTTTGGGGGAGGTGAAGGGGGATCTGAATCGTGGTCTGTTGTGCAAGAGAGTAGACCGTTTGCCAAACTTGAAGGGAGAAAAAAAGGAATTGCGGGATTTCCATATTTTCCAATTCCTCGGCGCTGTTCGGCGCTGGTTTTTGTTTGTGCCTCGCGGGTTTTATTAGCCGGGACCCTCAGTGGTGTGGGATCTTCCAGACCCACCGAGGGTTCTGGAGGCCTCCTGGAAGCCTGGAGAGCCGTCGGAAGGGTGTCTCGGGCTGCGCGGGAGCGTGTTGGGCCGTTCTTTACGTTCTGGGGGCTCCTTGGGGTCGTCTTAGGTTGTCCTTGGGCGTCTTGGGGGCCCCCCAGGAAGCCGGGAGGCGCGGTACCGGCCAGATGTCAGGGGATGCGTGGGACCTCCGAGTAGGAGTCCCACTTTGAAAAGAAAAAAAAACTTACAGCTTCCTCTCTTTTTTCAAAATCCTCGATCTTCGAGGGTTGGAAGCGGGAAAACGTGAGGCGAAAAACAACAGAAAAGCCATTGGAAATCAACCATTTTACCCTCTTTGGGCTCTCTCGGGACGGCTCTCGCAGTTCTCTTGGGCGGGCTGTTCTCGGAGCCTCGCCTCGTCAGGGTCTTTTTGTGGCCTTTCAGGGATCGGGAGTGTGTTGGGGGCCTCTGGGGGTCCCGGAGGCCTCTCGGAGTCTCTGAAAGCCTTCTGCTCCCGCTCTTGGGCCCATCTTGGGCCTGTTCTGGGGTTGTCTGGGGCTGTCCTGGGCGCCTCTTCGGCAGTCTTGGAGCCTTCTTGGCCCGTCTTGGGGCCGTCCTGAGGGTCTCTTGGTTGGTCTTAGGGCGGTCTTGGGAGCCTCTTCGGCGCTCTTGAACCACTGGAGGCTGGAAAACGCGAGAAGCCAAAAACATTGAAAAAGCAATGAGTTTCAACGATTTTGGCCTCTTCGGGCCGTCCCGAGACGCCTCTCGGACCTCTCTTGGGGTCTCTTGAAGGCCACCTGGGAGCCTCGAGAGCCGTCGGAAGGCTGACTTGGGCTGCTTGGGAGCGTCTTGGGCCATCCTTTCGCATTCTGGGGGCTCTTGGGAGGTGTCTTGGGCCCTCCTGGGGCGCTGTGGAGGCTCCCCGGAAAGGCAAGGGGAGCGGTACCGGGAACGTCCCCGAGGTGTCACGGGGAGGTGTGGGACCCGGGGCCGGGGGGGCGGTATATATATATATATATATATATATATATATATATATATACATGTTATCATATTATCATCGTATCATATTATCATACGCACCTCTCCGAGGGAGCAGAGCTCAGAGCCGATTAATTGAAGGCGGCATCCGCGATTTGTCTGGCCGTTTCGCTAGGGACATCCTCGAAATTCTGGAAATCGGTGGCACCCCTCACGCAGATCGTGACGTCAGGATCCAAAAACACATGTGAATTTCAACATTCTGACATAGAACCTTCAAAAACACATTGTAATTTCAATGATTTTGACCCCGATTCTCAGAGAATGGCGATTTCGCCTGAGACATCCTCCCAAAATCGAGCCCCGACGTACCTTCTGGTACCCCAGACCCCGCCTCGCAGCCTCTTGGGAGCCTCCTGGAACCTTCTGGGGCCTCCCTGGGGCTTTCTGTACCTTCTGGTACCCCAGACCCCGCCTCGGAGCCTCCTGGGGTCTCCTGGAACCTCCTGGAACCTCCTGCGGCCTCCTGGAGCCTCTTGGGGCCTCCTGGAGCCTCCTGGGATCTTCTGGAGCCTCCTGAGGCTGCCTGGGGCCTCCTGGGGCCTCAGAAGTACATGCACACTCAGAGAAACAAAACACACCCAACACATCACACACTAGACAAACATTACACAAACAACACCTACAACGCACAGAAAACACGCACACACAGAGCACACATCACACACACGCACACACACACACACACACACACACAACACTCACAATCCCGGGGCCTCCTGGAGCCTCTTCCTGTATCCAAGTCGGGCCTCCTGAGGTTTCCTGGGGGGGCCCTGGTACACACATCGCAAGGTGTGGCATCCCCCTTGCGCTCGAGTGCGACCTCGATCTTAGATTATTCTGCGTTCACCTCCTGCCTCTTCACCTTCTCTTAGGCACGCCCTGGCGGCGCCGCCCCAGCTTCCCCTTCTCCATCTCCGATCCTGCAGTCATGGTGTCTTCCTGCTTCAAACGCCCTTTCAATTTGTTGTATGCGCCTGGGCACACACGTGCCACTTGTATATACACACATACATATACATACATACATACATACATACATACATACATACATACATACATACATACATACATACATACATGCATGCATGCATGCATGCGTGCATGCATGCATGCATACATACATACATACATGCATACAGACGCACACACATACATACATGCATGCATGCATGCATGCATGCATGCATACATACATACATACATACATACACATACATACATACATACATACATACATGCATACATACATGCATGCATACATACATACATACATGCATGGATACATGGATACATACATACATACATACATACATACATACATACATACATACATACATACATACATGCGTGCGTGCGTGCGTGCGTGCATGCATGCATGCATGCATGCATGCATGCATGCATGCATATCTACATACATGCATGCATGCATACATGCATACATGCATACATGCATACATGCATATATACATACATACATACATACATACATACATACATACATACATACATACATACATACATACATACATACATACATGCATACATGTATATCTTATGTATACATATGTGGGTTGGTGTAAACGCCGGGGGTCTGGAAAGGGGAGGTAACAAAGGAGCGGCTAGGGAACTGGCCACATGTGGCTGGTTTTCCTAGCGCCTCCCAGCGCCAGAGTTGGCCGTCGATCGGGGTGTGTGCCAGGCGGTGGGCCCGAAACCAGCTGCATGCAGCAAATAGTTCCCCCACCAGCCCTCTAGACTTAGGGGTCCCAGTCTCCACTGACTCACCACACGGCGTGGTCACCGCACCGTTGGGGAGGCCCCGGCCCTCTTTCCCTCTGGGAACCCTCCCCCGACCCCACGCCAGAAGACTTCCTCCCTCGTCTAGCGGAGCCTCCTGAGAGCCTATTGGGGGGCCGCTTGGGGTTTCTTGCGAACCCCTTCCGGGCTCTGTAAAGTCTCTAGGAGGGCTCTTGCGGGCCTCTTGAGGGACTCGTAAAGGCCGACTGGGGCCTCCGAAACATATTGGAGCCGTTTTGGCGCCAAGGACGCTTGCCTCTCCTGACTGACTCCTGACTTGTTCGGGACTCCTTGTGCTCTGGCGCGCGCCAGGGGGAGCCGCTCCCGCACAACCCGCGCCGCCGAGGCGCGCCGCCAGCAGAGCCCCGGGGGGCCTCAGAGCGCGAACACCCCGGGCGAGATGGGCAGCGC